GTGCCCCTTAATGTCATCAGTGGTTTGCCCCCCTCTCCTTACCATATAAGGGCAGAAGTTTAGCTTGGCTGTGGTTACTTGGTCTTACACAGCAAGTTGGGCGAAACCTTCTCTGTATAACTACAGTTTGCATGAAATAAAAAGACCTGACCTTTGATCATCCCATGTTTCCTGGTTCAGGCAGGACTTTGGAAGCATATTCTAGAGGATTGATTCTAGGTTATAATACTCATCTGATATAATACTCAACAGTATTTACTGTTAATAGCTTTAACTGGAATACTTTTTTTTTAAAGTAAAAGTCATTCTATTTTTAATTTTGTTTGGCTAAAACATCTGGAGTTCATGAAAATCTAGGCCTTGTAAGTTTCCTCTCCCCCCCCCACCCAATCTGATCTAGGGTAATATTTTGCCGTTTTGAGGTGGGTACGTCTTTGACTGCTGTATGGTACATTGTTAAGGGTGGGGATATGGGGTGCACGCCCTTGTTTTCCACATCAGTAGCTCTCATCTTGGGGGTCACTTGCCGTTCTGAAGCATTTCACAGGTGCAAAGCTGTACAGGGTTTTAGAAACAGACCTGCGGACAACCCCCTTGTGCCCCCTTCCACTCTGGGAGCTTTTCTGTCCTCTCAATAAATTCTACTTTAAAAAAAAAAAAACAGACTTGCAAGAAGCTGGGCATTGTGGCTCACACCTATAATCCCAGCAATTTGGGAGGTCAAGGTGAGAGGATTGCCAAGAAAAATTGGCCAGACATGGTGGCACGTGCCTGTAGTTCCAGCTACTTGGAAGGCTGAGGTGGAAGGATCGCCTGAGTCCAGCAGGTTGAGGCTTTGGTGTCTATGAGCGTGTCACTGCACTCCAGTTTTGGCGACAGAGTGAGACTCTGACTCAAAAAAAAAAAAAAAAAGAAAAGACCTGCAGGAAAACATTGATAGCCTTTATTGATATAGCAGTCTGTTTTTTGAGTAGCTCATAAACTACTACATGTTGGGACCCAACAGCACTTTTGAAATAACAGAAACTAGGATCCCAACCTGAAAGACTTCGCTGGCAGTCAACACAGGGGCATTATGAGAAGAAAGCTAATTCAATACACGAGGCGTGGTTTGCATGCCTGGAAATAATTTGTGCCTGGGGTCTTTACCTTCCCCAGATGCCTTGTTATTTTATATCCGCTTTTAAATAACAGTTGGCCATGTGGCTGTGGGCTTGGACTGACAGAGGCTGCAGCAGGTCCTTAAGACAATCCAGGTGCTATGATGAAAAGAACCTTAGAAAATTTCTCGATAAACATCAAGACTTAGAAAAAAAATTCCGGGAGTAAAAGCTAGTAGAAGTTGAAAGTGAGAGATACAGGCTTTTTGGAAGGAAAAAAAAGGTAAAAATAAGAAAGAACTGCCCTGATTAAATTATAAAACTAAATATACCTTGAATTCTAAGGATCCAAACAAAATTCCAGTTAGACCCAAGACAGTATGGCCTTGCAGAGCCTGTCAGAGTCCAGGGTTTTTCTGGTAAGGACAGAGGTACTTGGCCACTCTGCCTAAGTCTCCGCTGTGACCTGCAAGCCCCTCTGCCTGCCCTGCTCGGTAGCCTTCGAGCCAGCCGGCATCAACTTCTAGACAAGCAGCAAGTGTGCTGTGGCATGTATGAGCCACCTGTTACCCATCACTTACTTTATGACGTTTTCAATTTTACACCCTGCCTTATGTCAAGAAGGATTGAGCTGTTCTCGAGTCCTGGTTGGGCTCTATCTCTGAAGGCCTTTTGTGGGGAGTTGGGGTGGGGGCCCGTGGAAGAGAACTTTCCAACCTGATGTCAGAAGAGAGAAAGACTGCAGTCCCAGGGTTCCTATGACGTTCCAGGAGACCAAAAGTGACAAGTAGGGAGCCAGCACACAAGGAGCTGGGACGATTTTCATCCTGTCTCCCACTGCTGGCAGAGTAGCCTGAGAGTGCTTCAGCGCTCTGGGTCAAAGTTCCCTCCCTCCTCTCCAGCCAAGAGCCAGACTCTGCCGGCTTCTCTGAGTGGTGGTGGGGGTTGCTTATTTATAGTACAGATTCCTGCCCTCTCCCTCCAACCTCCTGAATCAGAACTCTAGGGATGAGACCTGGAAGTTAGGCTTATCCCTAGAGTTCATGCTCACCTTCTAGCTGATTCTGATATCCAACCAGTTGTGGCAACTGCTAACCTGGTTGATGCCCTTCCAGCAAAAGAAACTGAGACCCCATTTTGGGGACTTACAGGGGTTCCCCAAGAGGGCTGCCACTCACAGGTCTGCTCTCTATGTGTGTGCTAGTCCTGCATTTGTCATGCCTAGAAACAGGTCTTTGTTCCCAGTCGTTGCTGGGGCATCCTGTGTGAGGCCCTGTTGGCTGGTATTCCTGTAAGACATAGCCCCCAATGTCAAGGAGTTGGAGTTCTACAAATTGCACCTGGGGGGAAGCATGGGTGGCATTTATACTGTAGCACTCTGCTGAACACAGTGTCAAACGCCAAGAGAAAGAATGCAGGGGAGTACGGAGGGTGCGGAATTCAAGGGAAGAGGGATTGACTGGTGGGGGGCGCCTTTCAGGTAGGGAGAGGCTGGAATGAGCACAAGGTGCTGTCTCTCTCTTCCTTTCCTGTGATCCAGCACCTGTGTGGAGAGCTGGGGACATAGACCCAACTTTCACCCAGAGGGACTTTTTTCCCCAGAGAATAAACAGTCTACGTGAGTACAAAGTCCTTGAGATTTGGGCCCAGATCTAAAGCAGAGCAGAGAAGTTAGGACATGGTGGCCTGTGGCACCTGTGACAAGGATATTCGCCTTCATGTTAAAAATAACAAGAGAAGAAAGGGGGAGAGAACAGAAAATGTACAGTACTTTTGAGTACGTGACCTAGACACTCTATGATGGAGAGTTGGTGTTGCTGTGGGTTTTTTGGTTGGTGTGGTTAGTTTTTTGTTTGTTTTTTACTCTTTGTTTTTGCTTCCACTTTCAGAGTTACTTGTTCATATCGCTCCCCCCCTTAATGAAAGGAACTGAATTTTACCAGAAATGGAAAATATGGAACAGTGAAGATATCTAACCTGACCCGAAAGTATATCTTTAGTGTATACATCCTTCTGATTTTTAAAAGAATAGGGTTAATGGTTTTCTTTGTTTGTTTGTTTGTTTTTGAGTTGGAGTCTCATTCTGTCGCCCAGGCTGGAATGTAGTGGCACGCTCACAGCCACGGAAACCTTGACCTGCTAGGCTCTGGTGATCCTTCTGCCTCAGCCTTCCAAGTAACTGGCACTACAGGCGCAAGCCACCACACCCAGCTAATTTTTTGGTTTATTGTAGAGATGAAGTCTTGCCAAATTGCCCAGGCTGGCCTCAAAGCCGAGTGCTCAAGGCAAAAGTGCTGGGATTATAGGTGTGAGCCACTGTGCCAGCCTAGGGCTAATGGTTTTTAAAAGACTGTTAATTCCCTATTCTTTAAAATGTCTTACACAAAAAACAAATCATCTGCCAGTCATTCCTACCTGGGCCAGTTGTCAGCTGTGCACTGATAATGATTTACTTTGCAGGTTGTAAATGTTCCTCCTCGGATTTATTTCACATTTGCCCTGCTGCCTGTCTCCATCAACCAATTACTACATTTTTGTCAAGACAAAAGTATATTTAAATGTTTTTGTAGAGTCCTTCACCTTGGTTGAAGATGGCCCACTTCCTCTCTTCCCAGATGAAACTTAGCATTTAAAATCTTATAAATACCTGATGACCAAAGAACTGAATGTTCTCATATTCCTTTGGTCCAAAGCCATGGTCATAGTCTCTAACTACATTTGCATTTTCAACTCTGGGTCCATGAACTAAGAAAGTTACTTTTGCTTAAATTAGGTTGGTTTCACTCATTTTATTGAGCCCATACTCAACTCTGACTTCTCTGGACATAATCAGCTTATAGTTCAATGAATATACAGAATTTATCTGAGAACTAGCATGGGTTCCTAAGTGTATGTTGTAATTTAGAAAACTTCTGGGCTTTCTGAAAACCCCATCGTCCCTTGATGAGCATCCATTCAAAGTAGATGAGGAAATTGTACCTGGTTGATAAACTCCATCTCCCACTTGGATGCACAATATTTAAACAGCCACCAGTGCAAGTGTGTATAATAGACCGTCACTATCTTTCATGTGTTCTGAGACACATAGTATTAATAACAGCTTCTTAGAAGTGGAGGTAACCACTGTTTCCACAGGAAAGAAACGTTTATTTTCAGAGATAGATCCCAAGTAAAAACAGTATCTGTGTTGTTTTTCTCCTTAGGAGTTTGATGCTTTACTTGCAGCGACCTTGACTTGTAAGAAATTTCATAGGCTTATGTCAGAAGCACCTGGGAAATTTGTCTTAACTGTGTTCCAGTGTGACCAGTTATTCAAGAGGTTACTGAAAGGAGCCGGGAGGGGGCAGGAGTTACTGGATTGTGTTGGGTCTTCATATGGTGTGTATTTTAGAATCGCTGAATTTAGAATAGTTTAGTTCCTTTATAAGACTCCTTTGAGAAAGTGACTAGGAGAAAGGAGACTTGAGTGAAACTCCTGAGTCCCGTTTCTGACACCACTGCTACTGTCGTGTGACCGAGTCTGGGGGTAACTCTTGTCTCTGTCCACACCTCAGGCTCCCAGTGAGTGAGGTGGCTGTGATGATGCTCTCCTTTAACAGGAGGTAAAGCCTAGGCGTTGAAATCCACAGAAGAAAGGAACCATGTGAGGGAGTGTTTGCCAGTGGCCCATCTATCCCATGAGAACTGTGTGTATGAGTTTGTAGATACGTAGATATGGATGTTCACTGTATAAGTGTACCCGAGACCTCCAGGGTGGACTAGGGCTGGTGTGCACTTAGAGATCACTCACCACAGGTCCAGGCTTCGTGTCTGAAATTAGCACTTTAGTCCCAGCCACTTCCTGAAGGTGCCTCCCTCACCTTCTCTCAGCTCCAAATGCTTTTTGTTCTCCCTGCCTAGGCTGAAGCCGATGTAGCTTCCCTGAACAGACGCATCCAGCTGGTTGAGGAAGAGTTGGATCGTGCCCAGGAGCGTCTGGCAACAGCTCTGCAGAAGCTGGAGGAGGCCGAGAAGGCCGCAGATGAGAGTGAGAGGTGAGAATGCCTTGCCAGCCACCTTTGAGCCCAAGCCCCTCCTCCTGGTGGAGTGAGCAGGAGGGCTTCTCTGATCCTGTGGCTTAAGAATTTGACAGTCTCTTGGTGGGGTCTTTTCCTCTGCGTGCTCCCAGGTATAACTTGGTTGGTTTGTTCATTTAACATTAGTGGAACACCTACTCGGTACAAGTTCTAAGGTTACAAAGAAGAAAAAAATCGTATTCCTACCCTTACAGAGCTCACCAGCCAGCAAGGGAATCAGACGTATAAGTGAGATATTTCAGAGATACATACTGGTTCTTTTCATTCTTGCTGGCCACAGAGCAATTGTGCTTTTTTTTGAAAATATGTAACTGTGTTTTAAAACATACTAAGAAAGTTTAGGCCTAGCTACAGGAACTGTGGGCTGTCAGTTGTCAAACAGATGGAAGAAAAAGTACAGATAAAACAGAACTGTAATCTGCAAAAGTAAGTTGTTTGGGATTTGGTCATAACAACCCACCTGTGACCCACACACACAGGAACAGCCAGAGGCGAGTATTCTGAGCCCACCTCTGCTGTGACCTGGCTCTGCCTGACTTTCTACTCCAAGGATCAGTTTTGTGGTCATAAAGGAGAAACATGGTTCCCTTTATGTGTTCTGGAAGGCATCTTCTCTTACGCTCAGCTGGTTAAGTTGATGGATTTGCTGTACTGCATAGAAGCACTCTTAGAAGATTCCATGAGGTGAGAGAGTGCTCTACTGCTTGAGGGGTAATATAACATTGAATGCTTACACGTCTGCACTGTGCCCTGGGCAGGTGAACGCAGTCAGTCCTCTTGGTCATTTCTTCATCTTTGAAGGGTTCCTGCCACCAGGTGTCAAAAGAGTGATTTGAGACATCAGGAGTAAGGCTTTTTAGCTAAGTTTTCAGGCCGTTGTTCAC